GTCCGGCAGAATGACGGCAGGCTCCTTTACCCACTGAGTCGTCTCACCGGCACCATAGCCCTAGCGGGCTTGTGTTACATCTCGGAAAATCCCCATTCTGGGGACATTGTCCATCTAGTTTTGCAGGGGAGCGTTGGCAAAACAGTCAGTAACAAACTTCAACCCCAGAGCTGCCCTGGGCTACAGCACCAGCAGGGAGGAGGCCAGCCAAGGACGTACAGGAAGATGAGCACAACAGACACCAGAGAAAGCTCCGAGGTTTCTGGTGACCCGGAAGGCTGCATGCACACTGCGCATGCCCAGAAAAGGTCTGAAGCGCTCCAAGCAGGTCTGGGATCGCTACAGGCTCCACAGGAGGCGATACAAGCCAAGACAGACTTAGAAACTACAAGTGGTCATGCCCATGTCCCTTACCAAAACGGCTTCCCAGGAGCCCACAGGCACATCTCACCAAGCGGGTACCTGGGAGCATCAGACACCCTAAACCAGGAATTTATGGAATTGAGTCAGAAAACTACTTTTTTTCTCCTTTTTGCAAGCACACCAGAAACTTGGAAGTTTAAATACGCATATAAAGGTTTCTTTACCCACTGCTTCTGACAAGTGTCTAGATATGAATGACCATAAAGAACAAAGGGGCAGGTCCACCAATGTCCAGGAAGGTCATGAAAGGGAGTAAACACATAGCCATTCTTTACCAGTCCCCTTTCCTGGGCCCTGTTCACGGTAGTACAGGTTTCTCTTAAAGGCCAACACACAGAACTCAAGGCACACTGCACTGAGATTCCACACAAGCAGCCGGATTTATTCCAGCGTGGCTTTGTATTGCTGGGCGCTCCCCAGTTCTCCACCAAATTCCGCTCCCTGGAGGGGCCACACGGTGGAAGCTGGTGCTTTCAAAACAAAACCAGGGGGTGGGGAGGCGGCTCTGTTGGTAAAGTGCCTGCCTTACAGGAGGATCAATGGGAGATTGATTCCCAGGGCCCGCCAAAATAAATACATAATAAACAAACAAAGCGAGCCAGGTGTGGCAGCCTGTGCTTGTAATTCCAGGGCTGAGAAGGCAGAAGCAAGAACCTGGGGCTTCATAGCAATCCAGTCAAGTGGTGAGCACCAGGCCAGAGACCCTGGCTCCAAAGAGGTGGGCAAGGGCACTCGAGGTTGGCAGTTCTCTGGCCTCTAACACACGTGCACCATATCCACACACATCTACACAGGTGCATGTATATGTATATGAACATGCACAAACACTTATGTAATTTTTACAAACCAATTTTTCTCTAGGAAAAGTTCACACAACAGATACAATAGAGACTAAGACATTTCTGCATATTTATTTATGAAAACAAATGCTGGAGAGAAACAGCTAGACATAAGGCACAAAACCAAAGGAAGAGCCTTTCTATGTAAAGACAGGACTGCACACAATGGTATCGCAGGCGTTAGTGCACCCCTGAATTCTCACTGTCCCTGCAGGGGGTCCTCAAAACCTCTGAGAGGCAGCACATGGCCAGTGGTGCCCGCACCCCCACATTATCGCCACTGCAGCGCTGAAGACTGCAGTCAGGCTGGAGAGACAGCCCAGCAGTTAAAGGCACCTGCTGTTCTTCCTGGACCCCCAAGTTCAGTCGCCAGCACCCATATCAGGCTGTTTACAGCTACCTGTAAATGGGGGCTTGACCCCTACTTCTGGCCTGTGAGGACACCTGCGTGTGCACGCACGTGCACACATAAAAACAAAACTGAGAAAACCTGAAAAAAATAATCTGTATTAAATTCTAAAATGCATTATCAGAAGCTCATTCCAATTCTCTACTCCTGCATGTGTTACATGTCTCCTAGCACGCTTCTTCCTTATGTGTGTGTGTGTGTGTGTGTGTGTGTGTGTGTGTGTGTGTGTAAGGTGGCACTTGTGCCAGGGTGCCTGCCCATGTGGAGGCTTAGAGGAAAACTTGGGAGAGTCCGTTCTCTCCTTCTACTGTGTGGATCCCAAGGAATGGAACTCAGGCCGTATGGCCTGGTGACAAGCCATCTCACAGGCCCCCAGGCAGGTTGCTTCTATCACAACAGGCCAGTCAAGGTTCACAATCAACCTGCCGGCTCTCTAAGTGCAGCAGACCACAGTGCAGACCCAGCCATTGCTGTGAGTCCGCAGGGCCAGTGCTCTGGTCTCTACCCACGCAGTCCTCAAGTGGATTCATTAAGAAGAGCTAATGTGGCACCAGCTGCTGGTGGAAGGACCCAGGAAAGTGCTGAGATGAAGCTGCAGAGGGCCGAGAAGGAATTCAACCCGGGGAAGTCTTCACTGCGGGAGGAAGGCCCTGGAAGACGAGCGTTATCTGGGCAGATGAGGAGGGTCCTCCAGATGCGGGCAGCAGCATGAGCAAAGGGCTGGAGGTCTGAACCAGCACAGCTGGAGGAAAGGCCAGGGGCGGCACAGCTGCAGGAGAAGAAGCACCTGGCTCCTGCGAAGGAGCCCGAGCTAAGGCTGGGTCACCCCGAGTCGGTTTCGTCTCCACGGAGTGCAGTTTCCGGTGCTGAGCGAAACTCCTGTACCACTTGAAAGCCTTCCCACACGCCTTGCACGCGTACGGCTTCTCCCCAGTGTGCACTATCTGGTGCTGAAGGGAGGCCACTTTGTGCGAGAAGGCCTTGCCACACTGCAGGCACTGGTAAGGCCTCTCGCCTGTGTGGACTCGCCGGTGGATGAGTAACTGGGACCTGTAGCCAAACACTTTGCAGCACTCCTGGCACTGGAAGAGGCTCTCCCCCGTGTGCAGTCTCCGGTGCTGGAGGAAGGACGAGCTCCTCCCGAAGGCCCTGCCGCACTCCTGGCAGACGTAGGGCTTCTCTCTGCTGTGGACCATCTGGTGCTGGGTTAAGGATCTGTTGGAACTCAGACATTTGCCACACTGCTTGCATTCGTAGGGCCCCTCGCCAAGGTGATTCTTCTCGTGGATGACGCATTCGTAGCTGAACTTGAATGCTTTGCCACACTCTTTACATCTGAAGGGCTTTTCCCCAGTGTGACTCAGCTGGTGGCGAAGCAGCTTGGAGTTGAACCTGAAGATCTTGCCACATTCTTTGCATTCATAGCACTTCATGCCTCCTCGATGGACCAGCTTTGGTTTGGAACTGAACATCTGCCTCACTGTCCTGCTGTCCTCACCGGCACAGTGCTGAGCATCCGTTCTGAGCACCCTCCCCCTGGGCACCCTGCAGGCTGCTCTCTCTCCAGAGGCTTCCTGCTTCAAAGAGGGCTCTTCGTCCTTGGTCCAAGACTCAGCATCTGACCAATTCAAGCACAAGAATGGCAGTCCTTAGCCAGTGTCCAGGAGGAAAGCAGGACGCGTAAATAATCTCCCTGGCAGGGTGATTTTGAGAGACACCCCTTTGAAATGGCTACGAGATCTGACAGGAGAGATGGGAGGGGCCGGGGAGATGGATCCGCGGTTAAAAGCACCTGCGGTTCCTCCAGAGAACCCAAGTTCAGTTCCCAGCACCCACCTCAGGTAGCTCATAACTGGACTCTGCCACTCTGCCATCACCCCAGCATGTGGCAAGTGCTTAAAACACACACACATACACACAACAAAATGAAAATAAATTTTTAGAAATTAAAAGAGAGAGGATGAGAGACAGTAAACCCTACTGATAAACAATGGAGAAAACACTAGAAGCAGCCAGGACAGGGTGGCCAGGATCTGCCCCCACAGAAGGGACGGAAAGTGAGCTATGGCAAGGAAAATGGGAAGGAAACAGGCAAGGGGGGGGGAGGCGGAAGAGGGGTCACCATAAGCACACAAACCACCTGAATAGACAGAAAAGCTGGATGGAGACCAAGGCACAGAAGAGCAGGAAAAAATAAGAAACTGGGAAAAGCAGGGGCAGGTCATCGTTCTAGAGGCCTCAGGTGGAGAAATACAACTCCCAGCACCAACAGACCAGATACTCTCCAAATGAAGGAAAGCACCCCAAATTCTAAGTGACACCAAATAATCTTGTCTTCAAAAGCCTGCATACTGCTTTGGGAGAAAAGCGATTTCTCTTGGAAAGGCAGCTGAACACAAGCTGGCCCTCCAGCTGTGAGTCTGTGGAATCCCTGACAAGGGGGCTGGGCGTACAAAATCCCAGCATGCACCAGGAGCAAAGCTGGAACTCCAGTCTTCAGGCAGGGAAATCCAGGCTGGGAGAGGTCTAGGGGAGCCGGGAAGTAAGGTGCTGTGTGGGCGGCTAAGGAGGAGGACTGGGCGGCTATGGAGGAGGACTGGGCGGCTATGGAGGAGGACTGGGCGGTTATGGAGGGAGGACACCCCCAGCCTGTCCGCTATTGCCCCATCTGTGATGAATACAAGGCAAAAGAGCACAGCCAGCGGAAGTTTAAAAACAAAGCCCCTCTTTCCACCTCTGACGGCTTAAATGTGAAACCCTCACCGGTGGCAAAACTCAGTTTGGCTCACCAGGTAACACCTTCCTTAACACTGCTGAAATCCGTGTCTTTGCCATGCTTTGTGAAGGCACAAGGAACTCTAAGTGGCGGATGAAAGCAAAACTGCGTGGAGTTCCTAGACGGCTGCCTTCGAACCCTGCACCGGGACCTTTGAACCCTGCACTGGGGACCTTTGAACCCTGCACCGGGACCTTTGAACCCTGCACCAGGGACCTTTGAACCGGCTACAGGAGCCGCACAGCCAGGGCTGCTCCCCCATGCTCAGGTCAGACCTGGCTCGCCAGGCCCCCCCCTCACTAGAGCAACGAAACCCTTTCCATAGAGAGAGCATCAAGGACTTACCAGGACTACAGCCTCTTAGGCACTCTGAGGCCCAGGGATCTGTGGCCCAAGGCGCTTCTCCTCTCTCCAGCTGGGAGACGAGAATGGGTTTGGGAGGTGGGCATTCAACTACAGAAGCAAAGGAGGAAAGATAGGTTGAGGACAGACTGCCTGTCTCAATGGGTTCCCGAGACCTCTATCAGCCCACCTCGGTTCGGGCTTGATCGGGAGAGAAGTGATTCCAGATGACAGAGCAGCACACGGGGGTCTAACCTGGGCTCTATAACACAGTCAGAGGAATATGACTTGTCTCGGAAAGGGACAATGAACTGGGCCTGGGCCTCAAGAGAGGAAGCACCCTCAGCAAGGATGCTGGTGCTGCTTCCCTGGGAAAGCCCCTCCACAGTTGGGGATACCAACCCTCTACCCCAGGTGGAAAGCTAGACAGAGGACTCCTTGGGGTGTCAAGAAGGCTCCCAGCCCTCAAGTAACTGAGACACACCCTCACCTGGGGTAAGAGGGTGTCCGGGTAGAAAACCAGGGTTACCAGAGATGCCCATCAACCTAACTACCTCACCAGGCTGGGGTCTAAGTCCTTACGACAGTCGTCCAACCTCAGGACCCGAGACTTCCCAGACTCCCTGAGGAGGCAGCTGGGCTCTGACAAGGTCTTACCCAGAGAAGCCACGTGGGCGTAGTTCTCCAGCATCACATCCCTGTACAAGGCCCTCTGCGCGGGCTGCAGGCCGTCCCACTGACTCTGTGTGAAGTACACAGCCACATCCTCAAAGGTCACCAACTCCTGAAACAGCAAATTCCGGGTCAAGCTGGAGTGAGGACAAGGGGGCTCTGAGGAGGCCTCAGGGAAGGGCAGCCAGCACCTCAGCCAGGAGCCAATGCAGCAATTTCCCGCTTTCAAATGGGGAGCCCAGCACTGCGTCATCTACACAATCTGGGGTCTTCACTGCTATTAACCCACAGTCTAATACCCAGGGGGCGCTCTCTTCCTGGTGACCACAGCAACAAGAAGGAATCTATTTCTGGATTCACAGACGGACCCCCAGGGAACTGCCATCCTGTGTACTCCTGTCTGTTACCTGGGCTTCTTTCTTTCTTTTTTGCTTTTTGTTTGTTTTGTTTTTGGCTTTTTGTTTTGTTTTGGTTTTTTTGTTTGTTTTTTGGTTTTGAGACAGGGTTTCTATGTATAGTTTTGATGCCTGTCCTGGATCTCCCTCTGTAGACCAGGCTGGCCTTGAACTCATAGAGATCCGCCTGGCTCTGCCTCCCGAGTGCTGGGATTAAAGGTATGTGCCACCACCGCCTAGCTACCTGGTGTTTCTTATGTAAAATAAATTTCTTATTAATACTTTGAGAATTTCATACATGCATTTTTGTTGCCTAGAGGACTGGCCTCCAGCGGCTCAGGGCTCAAAGGGAATCCAGAGTAGGCATGTACTATGACTTTTTTATCTGAGGGGGTTAGGGAAAAAGACACTCACACACTCTCTTGATGGTTTCCTTCAGACCTTTGCTTTATTCTTCTTTTGCACTCCCCATTCTTTATTTTCCTGGTGATTTCCTTTTCTCATTCTTGATGTTTTCCTTCTAACTCTATCTTTATTCTTCCTTATTCTCTCATTCTTTTTTTTTTTTTTTCTTTTTTCTTTTGGTTTTTCGAGAAAGGGCTTCTCTGTGTAGCCCTTGCTATCCTGGAACTCACAATGTAGACCAGGCTGGCCTTGAACTCACAGAGATCCACCTGCCTCTGCTTCGAGTGCTGGGATTAAAGGCGTGCGCCACTAGCACCCAGCTAGTCTCTTATTCTTGATGTTTTCCTTCTCTCTCGTTATTGATGCTTTTCTTTAACTCTTTCTAACTCTATCTTTATGACACCTTATACACCTCAGCAAAATCTTTCAGGCAATATAGAAATTACAATGTGGCTACATTCTGGTTTTCAAGTGAATGATTACAATGAATACAAGTTAAAAAAATCATGTTTTCCATATCCCTTACATGAGTAAACATTTTATGCATTACAGGTGAAAAACAAATTATCCCAAGAACTCATGTACATTCATACCCAAGCAACTTGTTACAGATTAACAGTGTGTAAGCAAGCAAGATATTCTTTTACTGGCACACTGTGTTTTGCGGTTATAAAGAAAGGACCAATCACTTTATTATTTGTCTTGAAAGGTAATCTTATAAGGAATATTAAAGGAATCACAAATCTACATTTTTATACATGAAAAACAATCAATCAGCTCTACTTTAAATCTTTAGGGTACATACCACTCATCAATAGTTTTATATATCAGGAAATTGAGGGCAGAAATGGGTATAAGGAATTAATCATCACCTTTGATCACCAACAAATCCTAGCAAGAAAGGCATATCAGCTAATGATAATCGGGCTGCTTTGTTCTTGTTCCCTTATCTTAATGAGTTCCTCACTGGCAGGGTGGTGGCGGCTCATGCCTTTAATCCCAGCACTCGGGAGGCAGAGCCAGGTGGATCTTTGTAAGTTCAAGGCCAGCCTGGTCTACAGAGCAAGACCCAGGACAGGCTCCAAAACTACACAGAGAAACCCTGTCTCGGAAAAAGAGTCCCACACTCAACTACGCGCCTTTCTAAAACTTTAGATTGTCTTTTTGGGTTTTTCACCTCACAGTTATTTAACAAAAACATCTTAGTTTAAGTTATTTTCAAAGCTTTGTTTCAGCTATGATGCACTCTGAAACCTGTGAACACCCAACATTAAGATTAAGAGAATTTAAACTAGCTGGACTACTGGAACTCAACTGTTTTTCTTAATCATTAACCTAAGCCACAGTCTATATGGCTCCTCAGTAGAAAGTGTTATGTCCTAGCTGTGTGACTTGTTTTATTTTTAATTATCAAAACTCTACTTAAACTAACATTATTATTAATTAGGCAGTATAGCTTAGGAAGAAATAATCTTCATCATAATCCACAGGTAAAAAGTCCCAGTAGAATGGGATGTTTCCATGAGATAAACACATTCCATTAAAGGCAATGGGGACCTCCCCATACCCATTCACACCATTACAGATTCCAGAGAAAGATGGAGGATCCCCCCCACACCCATTCACACCATACCAGATTCCAGAGAAAGCTGGAAGATCCCCCCCACACCCATCCACACCATTACAGATTCCAGAGAAAAGGCACAGCAGAAGCAAAAGGCATCTGGAGCGTGTGGTCTCGGGGCCTTGCCTATCTGAGATTCACCCATCAGGGATTCACCCCCTAGTGGGCTGGCACCCTGAAGCCAACTGCCATCTGCTGCTCCTGACATGGCCACCAGCAATGCATACCATGTGTTTTGATCATATTCACTCCTCAGTCCTCCCCTGACACCTCCTAGACCCACTCCTCACCCCTACCTCAACCCATGTCTTATCATGTATGTGTATTTCCCTCCAAGTCTACTCTGTATTGCTCATGTGTTCATGGTGTGGTTGATTATCAGGGGCCACGCCCTTGAAGAAACTCCCTCCCCCAGAAAGCACCATGTGTTCACAGGTCCTCAGCTAGGGGTCGGGGAGCTCATGAGCGTCTCCCTCCTCCATGCCAGATGGCTGACTGGCTTCAGATCTTGTGCAGGTCTCATGTGGGTCACTAAAGCTGTCACGGGTTCACCACTACAGTGGTCCTGTCATGTCCAAAAGAGTGTTTCACCCTGGTTCCCCCTGACCTCTGGTTCTTACAATCTTTCCACACTCTTCCATGATGGTCCCTGAATACTGAATGTGAGCTGGATGTCCCAAAGCTGAGCTTGGACCAGTCGTGAACTCCTGCACTCACCGCCACTGCCTCACAAAGTACTTCCTCAGATACAGTCCGAGTGCTGCTCTAATCTGTGGGCAGAGATATATACATGTGAGGGCAGTTTCACTCTGGTGAGGCTCATCCCCGGGTCTGTGGCCAGGTATGTGGTACTAGGCATGTGTTTCCTCCTGTGGAGCAACCCTTAGAGCCAATCAGAAAGCAGTTGGTTGCCCCCCGCCGCCCCCCCCCATACCATCACACGACTGTTGCAGCCATGGCATATCTTGCCATGCTGATCATTACTGTAGCTCACAACTGGGTAAGACTGTTGATGACCACACCCCCTACCCCAAGCATCCTGCATAGTACCTTCTGGTACCCAGGAAACCAGCCAGCAGGAAGTAAGCTTCCTGATCAGTACCACCTTGATCTGTTCATGCCTTGTGACCGAAGGTGCCGCTGTTCTTCTATAGGATTAATTACAGTTGGCTATCACTACCCTGACTCCGCCCACGACCGTTAGGAACTCAGCCTCACTTGTTTCTCCCCAGCTTCTTTTCAGATTCCCCAGACCCACCACTGTGGAGCGAAATGACATCAGAAAAGCCACTGCTTTGCAAACGGCATTTTCAGGCCTTGAGAGAAAACCGGCTCTCTTCAAAAAAGTGTGTGTGTTCTGCTTCCTTGGGACAACAGCTGTAAAACTGTGGGTCTGGCCCCAATGGTGTCACACAACTAAATCTGAGTCACAAAACAGCAACAGCAAACATTTCCTGAATTCGGTGACCAAAACAATATTAAATCAAACACGTTAATGAGCCCACGGTTTTCCCACACGTTGTAATGCATGACTTCATTGCAGCCTCAGCTGTGAACACGGTGAGTGCACTTGGCATGACAAAAACGCAAAAAGTAGACTCAACATTCAAAGTGTAGAGAGCACCCACAGGGCACAGCAAACCTCGCTCCCAGCCAATTCCACCTTCCTGAGCCCCTCTCCTCCCCCAGAGGGCTCAGTGGGTAAAGGTACTTGCTGCCAAGCTTGACCACCTGGGTTCGATCCCTTGAACCCACATGGTAGAATTGACTCCTGGAGGTTGTCGCCTGACCTCCACACACCCTCTGTGGCACACACACCTGTATACACACAAATGGGGTGGGGGGTCAAAGAAAACGCACACACAGAGAACATTGGTCTCTTGAGCACACATCCACAGTGGATGAAGCAAACTCTTCAATAAGGTTTTGTGGTTTTTATGGATGGATGTGTGATGGGATGCCACACACGTGCAGTACTCCCACACACCAGAAGAGGGCATCAGCTCGCCTGGAAAGGCTGGAGTTACAGGTGACTGAAATGCCCAGCAGGGATTTTGGAACCAAACTTGTTCCTCTGAAGAGCAGCAAGTACTCTTATACATCTCTCCAACACAAAGTGCAACCCAGGCTGGCTCCCAACTCCTGACATTCCTGTCTCGGCCTCTTCAGCATACCCTCCTGGCGACGGACACCACAACCAGCTCAGTGAAGAACTTCCAACTCCAGCAAGTGACTCGTTTGCAGACACGATCTGAGCTTCCACACTCGGGGATGTATAGGCGTGGGTATCCTTTTTCCACTAGTATCTGCAGCGTGAGCCTTATCACTCCCGATACGTATTTCCTCCATCACATATTTACATAGGCTACATACAGCCCGGTCAATGGAACCCTTCAGGCTTTCGGATAACTGACAGCTAGTCTGAGGAGGAAGCTAACTCACCTGAGGCCAAGCGGTTTGAAGCATGCCTGGTGTCCCTGGCTTCTTGCTCTCTGTCTTCTGGCTTTGGATAAGCGAGACCTTAGAAGCCAAGAGAACAGCAGGAGTGCTAGGGACCCTCCCCCGTTTCACTGAAGCCTGTGATGCTCGGGCTCCGTAATTCCCACCGTGACACCCCCACCCAGGGGCCCTCCTGTCTCCCACGCAGGGCTACCGGGTCTCCACTCTGCAGTTTGCAGTGCGCTCACAGGGCACGTGGGTCTGAGCACAGGGAGGCTGTAAGGACGCTGGAATGGCGCCCCGCGCTCCGGGGGAACTCACTAAGACGGTCCGCTTGTGGCGGGCTGGGAGCACAGAAGGTCCCGCGTAACCGGGAACCTCCAGCAGTAAACTGACGATCAACTCGCCGGAACCCTCTACACCCCAGAGCCCGCCACACCACCAACCCGGAAGCACGAGCGCACGCAGGCCCCTCTAGGCCGCCCGGAGGCCTCATCTCGGTGGTACCGCGGCCCCACCACCGGACGTTCTGGCCGAGTAGACGGGTTGCTGTGTGCCTGAGCGCGTGCGCACTTGAGAAGAGCTAACACGCCCCTCGGGCTCCGAAGCGTGTGCACTGGGAAGGTCTGAGGGGTAGGTGTTGAGACTCTGGGCGCATGCGCACTGGGACAGCAAGTGGCACACCTTTGCCGGAGGCTCTGCACATAAATTACACAAATTCGCTCAAGCTATTTCTCTGGCACCAATTTTAAATAGCAACATGGGGAGGGGGGAGAACAACCCACACTTCTACAAATAAAAATTGGACCATCAGTGCAGTTTCTTAGTTGATGTGGCAGGAAAGGATCCCAGCACCTGAGTCCAGAAGGCTCAATTCAGTCCCCGCAAATCTGACGCCCTCTTGTGGGCGGCCTGGCACTGCACTCATGAGCACACACCCACATAGACACCTAAGTAATGATGGGGTTGGAGAAATGGCTCAGCAGTTAGTAGCACCTGCTCCTGCAAAGGACCAGCGCCCACAAGGTGGCTCACAAGCATCTGTAACTCCTGTTCCAGGAAACCCAACGCCCTTTTCTGGCTTCCAGGGACACCAGAAAGGCATGAGGTACACACACTCACTCACCATTCATATGCATAAAAAATAAACCTTTCTGGGGTTGGGAATTTGGCTCAGTGGTAGAGCGCTTGTCTAGCAAGCACAAGGCCCTGGGTTCGATCCTCAGCTCCAAAAAACCTTTCTTTAAAATGGTAAAGCAGTAGAAATTATAAGGCAGAAAATTAAAGTTTATTTCTCACTGGGCATGGTGGTATACAGCTGTATTGCCAGAACTTCAAAGGCCTAGGTAGGAATGAGGAGTTCATGGCTAGGCTACACAAAACCCTTCCTCAAGCAAACCATTTTATGTTCAAGAAGAAAAAAGCATGTGTGGTGGTTGAGAGCCTATGCTGAAGACTAAGGCAGGATGTCTGCTAGAGCTCAAATTGGAAGCCAGAAAAGCAAAGTGTAAGCCCATTTTCTGAAAGTTAGATGGTCCCTTGCAGTCCCAAGGTTAAGTAATCCTTAATACTCAACCCAGTCTTCATGCCCCTGACAACAAATCACTAAAGACCTGCTTTTGAAACTGCTTGCTCCCAGGCACCTCTTTTCCATGACCACTCATCCCACCTGCCTTGACCTCAGGTTATTCTAAACCCAGTCTGAGGTGCTAATTCCTAGCCACCACGATCAGTGCAGTAAAGAACTGGCCCCTCCTGCAAACAGGCAGAGAAGCCAGCCTGAGTATTTGTAGGTATCTGCTCTGGTGCAGGAATCAACCTGCTCCTTCCTAACAAATCATTTGGTAGTTGAAAGCAATACACACCCCGCCCCCACCCTCAGTGTGTAAATCAGGAATCCTGTAATGGCATGGCTGGAGATTCCAGTTCCATGTTGTCCACTTTCCCACAACCCTTCACAGCGGGCCCCTTCCCTACTGTGGGGATTTATTAAGGCAACTCCATGGAGTTATTCACTATACTTCCCTGCCTGCAATGCTCTGAAGAGGGTACCATTTCAGCCAGATCTGTGTTTTTTCTCAATTCCGTGGGGTGTGCTCAGAGCAATCATGATGGCTGAGACTGGAGAATCATAGTACTAACCTCAATTCTACTTTCTATCCACGTTCTAACTCCTTTCTCCCCGTAATCTTCAACCCAAGACACATACACTCCAATAGGATCCAATGAATTGAGCTGGTCTTTTCTCTAGGCCATCAACCGTCCTGATTAGCAGCTAGCCCCCAATGTGCACTCCAAAGTGCCTAAACAGGAGCATCTTCACCATCTTTCCCATCTGAAAGCCAATCAGAGCTGGCTAAACCCAACTGCCACTTCTATAACATGGCCTACCTCATAGTTCCACTTGTCACCTTTTTGGGATGCTAAGTCTCAGTGTGTAGCCCTGGCTGGCTCATGAGAGGGCTTCCTGCCTCTGTCTAGCTTATACTCTTTTCTTTCCTTTGCCTTTTCAAGATGGGGTTTCAGCTGGGCAGTGGTGATGCACACCTTTAATCCCTGAAGAGGCAGGTGGATCTCTGAGTTGAGGCCAGCCTTGCCAAGTATCCATGACAAGTTCCAGACTTGCCCTGTATCCATGGCTCCACAGAGAAACCCTGTCTTGAAAACAAACAACTGTCCTGAAACTCACTCTGTAGACCAGGCTGGCCTCAAACCCAAGAGATCTGCCTG